CGGGTCTAGGCCCGAAACGTCAGCCTTTCTGCTCCTATGATGCTGCTTAGCCTGCTGTGTTCATCCAGCTCTGCACCCGGATTCTCCAGCATCTGCAGTTCCTACTATCGCTTTGGACTGGAGTCGCTTTTTATCTATTTTTCTGGATAGATTTCAAAAATTTAGTTTTGGGGTTTGATCATTACCAACAAGACCAATATATGTTGCCGATCCCCAGGCGCCTGTGGAGAAGATGATGTCTGAGTTTTTTGAACCCCCACTGCTGTCCCTATGGTGCAGGTGCTCCTGCAAAGCAGTTAGGTCAAGACTTACAGCTTATTCAGCCAGCAATGGATGAACATTGATATCTGTCTAAATCAGGAACAACGTATTGAAATAGTACTATTTAAAAAAAAACTGCAGATGCTGGAGATCTGAAACAAACAGAAATGGCTGGTCAAACTCAGCAGGTCTGGCAGCATCTGTGGAGAGAAAACAGATTAAGCGTTTCAAGTCCAGTCATAGACTGTAGGGAGGCAAAGTGGTTAGCACTGCTGCCTCACAGCGCCAGGGACCCACGCTCGATTCCACCCTCGGGTGACTGTGTGAAGTATGCACATTCGCCCCCTCTCTGCGTGGGTTTCCCATCACGTTCCATGGATGTGCAGTTTTGATGGATTGGTCATGCTAAATTGCCCATAGTGTCCAGGGATATGTAGGTTAGGTGGATTAGCCATGGGAAATATAGAGTTACAAGGAAAGGGAAGAGAGGTGGGTCTGGGTGGGATGCTGTTCAGAGGGTCGGTGTGGACTTGATGGGCTGAATGACCTGCTTCCATAATGTAGGGATCCGATGAGCCTTCAGACAAAGGTTACAGCAATTCCTGTTTTTGTGGTTAGAACAGTAACATGAAAAATACACAGAAATGATACAGCACAGGAGGCCATTTGGCCCATCTTGTCCATGCTGACCCAAATGCCCTTTCTAATCCCATCTTTCTTCACATGGCCCTTAGCCCTGCAGCTTCCAGCACTTAAGGTGCAGATCCAGGTACTTTTTAAAAGAGTTTAGGGTCTCTGCCTCTACCATTGACTCCAGGCAGCAAGTTCCAGGCATCCACCATCCTCTGCGTAAAAAAATCTTTCCTCCTGTCCCCTCTAATCCTTCTGCCACTGTGTTTGAAAATATGACCCCTGAGTTTTGAACTGTCTGCCAAGGGAAACAGGTTCTTCCTGTATACTCTACGCCTCACAATTTTCTGTACCTCAATTATATCACCCCTCAGCCTTCTTTGTTCCAAGGAAAAACAAACCCAACCTCTCCAATCTCTCCTCATAGCTGCAACGTTCTAGTAAATTATCCTTGCATTCTCTCCAGAACAATTACGTTCTTCATATAATATGATGACCAGAACTGCTCAGAATACTCCAGTTGTGGCCTCATCAATGTCTC